TTAGTCCACATATACATCATATAATTCAAAATTAATATCTATTATTTCAAAAGAAAAAGATTACTATTGCATCCAATTAGTCCTGTGGTGGTCCATTCATTGGAAAAAATAAAAGAAATAAAAACATTCCTAGTCTTGTGGTCCAACATACCTTAGCTATTTGTGGCCAAGTAAAATTCTACAAGAGAAAAATATCTTGTAATTTTAGTCCACATTCATTACCTATTTTCAAAAAAAAAAAAAAAAAAAAACATTGTTCAAGCTTTGCTTTTGCCATATAACTCTTGCTATATAGCTTTACAAGGAAAAAATAAAAACACTAAAAAGATCCTATAGCATTAATACAGATAGATAATATTTATGATATATGTGAATAATTAAGTACAGAAAGAATTACCAAAACTATTAATGAAACTATGTAAACATGGAAAAAAAAGTGGTAATCTAGTATTATCACGTTTTGACCTAGTGGTTTAGACCTAAATTAATAGGTATCATCACCTATGGTTTGCATATTTGACCACCATAGATTCCTATCCCCAATTTCCACCCACTTAATATGTATTAATTTCCTTCAATTTCAAAAAAAAAAAAAAAGAAAAAAGAGTGGTAATCTAGAGGATTATTATTGTAATATGTTAATAGGCCTCCACCTCATTATGGTACCATGAGCTAGGTCATGTTAACCAAATTGGAAATGTTTTTTATATAATTTTTTTAATTTATATTTTTATATAATTTAATATATTATTTAAATGATTAAATCTTTTAATTTATATAGTACTTATGATATTAAATACATCTATTTATTTAATTATACGTAAAAATTATATAAAAAATAATATTAAAAAATTATCCTTACAAAATTACTGTTTGGGCTTTCCAAATAGTACTTTTACCATACCAAAATTACTAATTTTGATGGGTAATTTTGGTAAATGCACAAACTTTCTTCCCTCTCAGCCAAATGGATTCATCCATGCTCGCTGCCCATTGCCTCTCCTGAGTCTCCTCCCTTCTTCCACTCTTTTGCCGCCCCTTGTCTACCTGCTACACTTATCTCTGCCTTTCTCCAAATCCTCATTAACTAGCGTTCCCTTAAGAAAAAACCCACAACCGGAGAGCTTCTTATCTATACCAG